TGTGTGTGTGTGTTCATTATGAATACAAAAATCAGATATCTCCCAATGAGTATGTTGCAAGCCACTTCCATACATAGGGCTATGATAGATAGTTTCCTTTTCTCTTTCATAAGTGCCTGATCGCTTTTGAGTAATTTTTAACCTTGTTTTGTTCAATAATATACTATATGGGAGAAAATTGCTAGTTTTTTCTTTTCTTTCCCTGGAGGAAAAATAAACACTCCTCATAGCATTGAATTTCCTTCAGGATCCCCTTTGGGAGTCCACAGTGAACACCTATAATAAAGAACAAGTGTAGAAGAACAGCTTACATGAATGATGATGAACAAGATGTACTGTGGAGTTGGGAGTCATTGTTTGCTGCTGCTATACACGGAGGTCCTGCTAGTGTTTGAGGAGACAGCCACCATCACTCAGGGCATTATGTCAGCTCTGGGCATGGTGTGAATCTCTCACGCTGTCCCTAGGCTGTGTAAGACACTACTGTGTCTTAAGGGCAGACCCAGGAGGGAGAGAGGCACATCTAAAGTCAGCAATATGAAAGATAAGTTTGCATTTGGTACCACAGACCAAGAAATGATAGTTTAATATCAATCGTCAGAAACAATTGCAAAACAACTAAATGTTCACACATAGAAGATATATTGACCATTAAGAGGCAAATGTATCATGAACAGCACCCTAACACTTACTTACTAAAATCTGAATAAGCATCATATGTCCAAGAGCAAATAACCTTAAGCTTATGTGTTTGTAAAGATGAAATTGGATTGACCTTCAAGTGCCTTGTACTTCTAGGGTAGCAACTACAGAATAGCCTCATTGAGGGCTTCATTATCATAATTAGGAGATTTCTCTTCTACCACTGTCTTGATGAGTTAGTTTTCATAAATGAAATAGATATAAACCTCGTGCATGAAACACATATTTATTCTCCCATCATCATACCGGAGATCTTAGAATCCCAGAGATCATCTCTCTCTTGATCCCAAAGCTTGCTCATTGCAGAATCACTAGAGGGCATAGAACTTTTAAAAGACAGTTATCTTTGCCTTACTTCTTGAATCAGAAGTTATATTTGATTCCTGTCATTGCCATAGCAAAATTCTAAAAATCTGGTGGTTTAAATAACAAACAATAATATTGTCTCACAGTTTCAGAGGCCATGAATCAGAAATCAAGGTTTGGGCAAAGCCATGTATCTATGAAGCCTAAGGGGAATTCTTCCTTATCTCCTCCTAGTTTCTGATACTTTCAGCAATCTTTGACAGTACATTACTTAAGTCTCTGCCTTTCTCCTCACATGGCTTCTCTCTTGGTTTATGTGACTGTCTGTCTCTTGTACTCTTCTTATAAGGACTCCTGGGTATATTAGATCAAGGGGCAATTCTATTCCAAGATTATCTCAGCTTAGCTAATTATGACTGCAAAGATCCTGTTTCTGAATCAGGTACTTTAGATAGAACCTAAACATACTTTTGGGTGGGGAGTAATAATTCACTCCATATCATTGGCACTAGGGTGAGAATCACTTAGGTGATTTGGCAATAGCAACATTGAGAACTATTCATAAATCATTCCAATTTCCCTGGAAAGTAGATATGTCCAGGGGGTTTGGGTTGATGGAGTCAGAATACAGATGAGCAATCTATGTAAAACACAATCCTCTAGAATCCCAAATTATTCGTTATGATAACCCTGCAGCTTCCTTGATCTTGAATTAAGATCACTTGATATTGTTCAATTTAATCAAAATCTCTATATAAAATGTATTCTATTTTGAAACCAATTACCTAACTTTAACCTAAGAGTTTCACATATAAAAAATTTTAGCAGCCGTGCTATTCAGTTATTCAAGCAAGACTAAATAGATTGGATGCATTTGCAACTGCAAAGAAGCACACACATGCATAGACATACACGTTTATCTATGAAAGTGAAATGCATTACTCAATGTAGTCTCTCAGAAATATAGTTATTATTTGGGGTAATGCAAATTTAGGGCTAAATGTTACTTATTTTTTTAAAAAAGCACTTAGAGATATATAGTTATATGTCTGCAAAAATCAAATGTTCAAATAAATGTACAATAGCCTAGTCCACTTCCTGACACATGTGCCTCTCAAATTTCTTTTCAGCTATGTCCAGGGAGTCATTAAGGCTTGTCAGGTATTAATAAAATGAATTCAGAAACAAGGTTTATAGTTCAGAGGGGAGGATCATAAAAATGTTTCCTTCACAATCACTCTCATGGAAAAGGGCAAAATTTGGGCAAGATTGTCTCAAAATTGGTCACAAGAGCCATTGGAATATGCAATAAATAGGTACATGCTGACATCAGCCCGAAAACATGCAGAGATTCTATTAGCTTCTATAAAAGAATAAAAAAAGCAAAATTGAGATCTGTGTGGGATGATATTTGACCAAACATCTTAAATCAGAACACAATTGCACTTTCAGTCCTACTCCCCATAAATTAAGGAGATATCACTTACTTTCCTTATGATATGCTGAGTATCTCTAATCTGAAAATCTTGAATTGTTTTAAAATCCAAAACTGTTTGATCACTGACATGAGCTTTGAGAGGAAAATTCCACATCTGGTCTATGCAATGGCTCATATTTAAAACACTGTTGAACTTAAACTATTATATACAATAACCTTCAGACTATGTGCATAAAGGCATAAAGTATGTATGAAATATAAATGGTTTTATGTTTAGATTTGAGTGTTATCCTCAAGATATAGTTATATTTATACAAATGTATCAAAATTTAAAAAAATTCAAAAATCTAAAATATTTGGTCTCAAGCATTTTGGATAGAGGACACTCAATCTGATATAATTCAGAGGGGAGGATCATAGAAATGTTTCCTTCACAAACAGAATTATATG